CATCCGTAGAACATGTACTTCTCTAAAATGAATGGGGATAATAGGGAAAATTAAAGTAAATCCTTTAGGACGTCTGCTTTTATAAGGCTGTTTGCAATGGCCTGCTTTTGGAACTGAATATTTGAGGCGGAAGTTATTGTTCTATAACATCTTACCAAGATGTGCTATAGAATTGATGTTTAGCTTGATTAATCTCTCAGTAACCAAGTATTTTACTACATTTTTTTTTTTCCTTCTGCCTCTAGGTCTGGTAATACCAACTGATTGATTGTCAAATATTGGAAGTGGTTGTGTCATAACTGATATAAAACATATAAAAACACTTGCTCTAAGTTTAGTTTTGCATATAAACACCCATGCTGGAAGTTACAGTTTGTACCTGGTATAACAAAATCAAAACTCCCTGTATTTAAGGCCTTTTAATAAAAAAGCAGATTTGTTTTAGAAAGATTTTTATTTCCATGTGTATTTTCACTCTGTTCGAAAACATAGCTGTTAAGATCCAGCAAATTTTATGCTTTGGATGAAAAACAAACTGAATTCCAAATAAGTGATCAACTACTATCAAAATTAGCTCAAATTAGAAAGTCAGACTTGTAGCCAGGTGGGACCTCAGCTGTTAAAAGTTGAGTACAACTGACTGTGTTTAATTATTTTTTACAAATCTATATCATGACCTTTCACTGCCTCTCTGAAAAATCAAACTAAAATCAAAGCATTGACAAACTAAGATCCTCACTAAGGGTTCTCACCAACTTTATCTATTTGATGTTCTAATTCCTTAATGAAATTCCACATAACTCTTTGTAGTAGGTTGCTCTGTCACGCCGAGCTAATCCTTTTGGTTCCGTTTCTGAATGTCCTGAGCATGCCCCTGTTTTCAGAGGAGCCATCTGCCTTAAAAAAGTATAATTAACACAAGTTAGAATGGAATATAACTTTGTGGAGATTGACCTGATAATGTTCAACTGTTAGAGATGAAAAGGGCAACTGAGAGTTTTCACCTAGTCCATAAAAACCTGTTTTGCGGCATCGGGGAAAAAAAAAAATCCATTAGCTGATCAATATGCCCTGACTCTCCAGTCAGCACAGTCAATATGTTGTTTGCCACAAATGGATCGTATTTGGCATTTCCATGAAATATGAAAGGAATTACTGGGAACGGTTGCAAGCTGATGAACAGGGTCTTCTGCTGCTTCAGACCTTGCTCCAAAAGAGTGATAGCAGGTTCACTGTGGTCATTCTTGCTGCTACAATCACAGCTTGCTGATTATGATCACAAATGTCATCATTCAGCCACAAAACTGCTTCATCATATAGTAGACCAGCGAATGTTTTGCTTTGTTTAGAGGTCAAAACAGCACTGTGCTACTTTTGGTCCTATGTTTCTAAAGGAAAAAAAAAATGTTTGAAAATTCTGTCTGTACATTCACTATACGTTTCTTTCAGCCTGACCATTGCAGAAAGGTCAGCTCTCTATGATTACTAGATCAGCAGCTCTGTAATTCTGTGATTATGATTTTCTGATATGTGGAGTCAAGTTTATTGACCATCAAATAAAGGTTATAAATCCTCTTATCTCCAGTTCTTACTGTAGTGCAATTCTTGATGGTAAGTAGCTGCTGGTGTAAAGTACGTAGGCCCAGGCACGTATAGTTCTTCAGTACCCTGTCTTAGTGGAAGGACCAGCAGAGAAGAGGATTAGTCAGAGCTATGGTATAGCAGTACTCATCCTCATGATTTTTCCTTTTATAATAAATGTTTCTTACCACTGGTTCCAGTGCTGGCGTGAAAGGAGAGATTGTCCCTTTCTATTTTCTCTTGACTCTGAGATTACATTTGAGTCAGCATCTTCACCCCCCTGACCATAAGGTTAAGGGGTTCCCCCTGCTAATTTGGCAGAAAGCAAACCCTGTGGAACAGGGAGACTAGTTTTCTGCTGGATTAGCTGCTCTAATCAGCTTTACTCCTCACTTGGGCAGATGCTAGACCAAGCATGAACACGATGGAGGAGGAGAGAGAAAGAGAGAATTTTGCTGCAGTCATGCTCATTTTATGGCTCGTTGCTAAAGAAATAAGAGTGTTCCTGCTTGTCTGTCTGTCCGTCTATATTGTCTATGTACTGGCACTCGTCTTCCCTAGCAGGGAGTTGGTTCAGGGAGCTGAAGCAAAACTGGGGTTGGTTGTTTGGTTTTTGTTGTACAATTTTTAAGTCACTGAAGTCCTAGGAACAGCTCAGCGAGTGGAAGAGAAGGCTGGGGGTAATGGGAGGAAGAAGCCTGGTGCTCTTTGGTGGAGAGGAGCCGCTGGGTGAGCTCAGCTGCAGGGCCAGGCTGCTTCCCGGGACAGTTTCCTGCGGGCCCAGGCCAGCCTGCTAGAGCTGCATGGGCCTCCCTGGTGCTGGCACCAGCACGGCCTGGCGCTGGTCTCGCAAAGCAGAACCAGCTAAGGCAGCGCTGGAGTCTCCCTTTCAATCACAGGCCACAGCTCAATCAGCTGAAACAAGCCCTGAAAACATGTCTTCCATATATAATATATATCTTACTGCAAAGGACTTCATCCTCTTGCTGAAAAACAGCAGCAAATCTTCTCTATAGAAGCAAACGTTGCTGTCTCTCTGAGCTGTTGGCAGTTGCCTCCATGTTAGCTGTTGTTTTAGACCAGCTACCGAAGGAATTAACCACTTCAGTGGGACGACAGTTTTGAGATAATTCATCTGCAGGATTTGCCTTCTAAGGACCAGATATAACAGCCACTTTAAGATGATGAATGCTGTTGATTTTCATAATAACAACTTGGTATCTCCCTGTAGTATATCAGCCCTCTCACTGCTTACTGACTGCTCATTTGGGAGCAGAAGAGTGAGTGGCACTGCAGAAATGTAAATCTCTGGGGTAGCATTAATGCCCCTTTTCTCCTCCGAACCCAGCTCTTGTCATCATGCAGCAGTTGCACCCATCTACTTGTAAAGCGAGGTTTTTAATCAGGGGTCTTGGGATTCCTTTTTATGAAGCCTGGTTCTTCCTTAGTATCATGGCTTCACTCGGTCAGGTATTAAAGTTTAAACGTTCCAATGGTGTTACAGCATTACACTGCAATTAAACTTTTATTTACCAAAACACTTGAGCATGTGACTTGAGACCTCAAAACAATTTCACTGTTCTATACCGGAATTCATCGCAGGCTATTTTTTCTTTGTTTTAGTGGGAATCAAGACAGTTTTTGCTATAGAATGCCATAATAAAACAGCTATTTTTGTAAGATAAAATAATGGAATGTGTAAGATTTTTAAATGAAAGCTTTGAGCAACTTGAAAGACCTAGCAGGATTTGCACTCAGCATAAAATCTATGAAGAAGAAAAAACTTAGGACCTCAGTGAAAAATCAAGATTCCACATGAAATCAGTTCTCACAAACCGGTTACTAATTTAATGGGATTGTCTAGAAATTTTCTAATGAGATTGTTTAAAAAGTAGCTTTTAATTGGCTAATCTATCACTTTGCCTGAAAAACTGGGGACATTTTCCTTAAACAAAATGGGCAATTAAAGAGATAAAAGCTTTATGAATGTTCTAGGCCTGGCTAGACTAACTTGTTAGATTTAATGGATTTAAAATGACCTTAGCCATCTCACTGCTTCCTCAGTTATTCTTTTTTCTTTCTTCTTTCCTTTTTTTAAACTTAAAGCTTAGCTATGATCTTCGTCCATTATTCTGCTCAGCTTTAATGTTTTAAATATGATAATATATTATTCTATGAAAGCAAGCCTTATATTATAAAGTCCCGTAGGCAGATTATGCACAGGTTATTGATTTGTATTTAAAAGCAGAGACAACCTTTAGTTTAATAAAGAGGCAGACAGTGGGCTGTTATTTTCAGGTATAAAAGCTGTAATTAGGATTTGTTGGTCTTTTTCAAGCAGGCTAACATATAATACCTAGTGAGTTTGATGATTGGGTTGTAGCTATAGCAGGCGTATCAGATAGCTAATTTAGTCTTGCGTCTCTTTCTACTAGTCCCTAAATCTGTTTCAAAAGAGTAAATTGCGGATAGAAGTGGTGGACTCTTTCCGTGCCAGCTCTAGGTTGAGTCAGTACTAGCCAATTGGTGCCTGAGGGGGAAGCACTTCGGATATTGAGTGAAGTGTTCTAGAAAGTTCCTAGGGAAACTGGAATTTCACACTTTGCAAATCTGGACATGAACTTTTAGCTGACTGTGTGTAGACCTTCTTTGGTGGTGACAGACTTTGGAAATGCTATTTCTCAAGGATTCTTGAGGAATTCTCAAGGAACTCCTGATATTAAACTGTATAGCACTTATTCAAAGAGCATTGTTTCTGCTCTGTGGGAAGAATTGGATTTTCAAGAAGAATGGGAGACATTCCACTTAAGGAAAATGTAACTGACTTTTGTAGAAACAAAAATCACAAAGAATGTCTTCTTGCAATAAACATTAAGTAAAAAGATAAATGTGCTTGAAAAACCAAACAGCACTGAGCTTGAAAGCCTCGGTGAGGAATCTTTTGGCTCAGCTGTGACTCCCCGTTCCAAGAAATCTGTAGCAGAGAACTGGGAGCATGAGAGCTCAGTTGCCAAGAACCTTGTGCACTTGGCGTTGTCGGCCCTGAGGCAGCTGGAGAGGCAGAAGGGCCTGTGTAGCAAACATCTGAGCTTTCCAGCTGCCTCAGAAGTGCTGGAGAAGAGCTAAGCCTAGTTCTGGAAGTATCCTGCTTATGTTTCATTAGAAGTTCCTCAAAACCATTATATTTACGTGTCTATGGATTGATGTTTTTCCAATGCTGCCTACTTCAACTGGAAAATTTTTCATCAGCTCTAATGCTTAAACCTATATTTGGGTCTTTCCCATATTTGCAGCTCTTTAGTCACCACAGTTGTTGGAGAAGGGGCCTATAGCAGTTGTTAGGAAAGCTTTGCTCTCATACGTTAAAAGGTTTTGTTTCAGGATAAGGAATTCACATGATGATGTGTTTGATCTGACAGGAATTCTTCAGTGGGTGAAGCTGATAGACAACTTTGAAGCTGAGTACGAATATGTCACCAATGAAGGAACAGTGTTCACTTTCAAGACGAACGGCCATGCTCCAAATTACCGGTTAATCAACATTGACTTCAGCGACCCTGATGAATCTAAATGGAAAGTTCTCATCCCTGAACATGAAAGAGATGTTCTAGGTAAGAATATATCTAAAGTTAAAGATTTTCCTTCTCTTCCTCTCCACACCCCTATATTAATTCAATCATCTGTCTATTGAATGTCTCGCAAAGACCTTCTTACTTTTCCCCTGTACTTTAAGTGTTTGAGACTTGACGTGCTTGTCCAGTGATTAAAGGATTTGTCTGAGACTTGAGAAATCCAGATTTCATTTCCATAGCTCGCTCTCATCTTGTGTGGCCTTGGTAAAGTTGCTTACTCTATCCTTGTTTTAACTCCGCGTTTCTAGGAGGAGAGGGGAAGGTATTCTTCTGCTTCATGTCAGTGCTGTGGATGTTTACCACATACTCAGGGATTACAGTAAGTGAGGCTTTGCAAGCAGAAACAAGAAAAAAAGCAAGCCTGGCAATAGTACAGCACACAGTACACATGGACATCAGAGTTTGAGGCAGGTTTGTCCATCATTCCTGGGACTAGAGGAACAGATAGCTCTGTAAAGCCACATAAAAGCCCAAGAGCATGGAATTGTCTAGTTGTTAAAGGAAATTCAGCACCTTGATTTTCACCAGTCCTTGATTTTGAGCTAATTAAAATAAAGGTGTGTTGTGATAAACTTCCTGTACTAAGGCTTAGCTTTAGGTCATTTTTAAGATATTTTTAATACTATAATTTGGGGAAAAATCTTTTAAAACTTAGTGCTTGACATAATTATGTGTCATACATATTGAACATCCCATGAAGTATTTTTGACGGGTTTGATTTGCCATTTTTATATACTTGTGTATCCTTCATCCAGTGCAAGGATACAATTGTGATTGATCTCACTACTGTAGTTTTAGCTATTTAAAAAGACGCTGTATTTCTTTTTCATTGATCTGTTTTTGTACAAATACCCTCATTCATTGTTTCCTGTGAGGAACTTCTCTTTGGAAGTAGAGGTGTGTGTGTATAAAAAATAACTTCTCTGTCACTCCCACTAAGACAAATCCATTTAAGTACTATTTCAAATTCCTCTTGAGTTCTCACTTTCAAAGGCACCAGAAGATTCTTAAGAATACATTTCTATCTGCATATTTAAGTGTCCTGTGTCATCTATTCCACAACCTGGACCAGGGTCGTTCCCAGTGTGACACAGATGGAGAACAGAGCTCCTATAATGTGGTTTCTTATAGATCCTTGCCCCAAAACCAGCTGACCAGATCTGGTCCTGGATAACGTGTGTGAGGGAGAATGAGGCACTGCTGGAGCATGCCTAAAACTGGAGTGACATGGGAAACACCTGACTCAAAAGTGTTGTAAGACTCTTGGTGGTCACAAAAAGAGCAAACAAAAGTTGTTGAGAAAAAATTCTTCGTTGTGAGGTTGTAAACTCTTTGAATCGGGAGTCATGTGCATCTTGGATGGATTGCCTTCTCAGTCCTAGGGAAAAGATAAATAATAATTTTGTCAAATTGCTTCATCCGTGATTCCTGATAATGCACAAATTTGTTGGCTATCTGTGAAGCTATGTTTAAATTACTGGGAGCTGCAATATACAACGTGGCGCTGAATTGAAAGATTAGAGATGGAGAGTGTCCAAACGGAATAGGACAGAAGTGTGTGTGTGTGGTTTTTTTTCTCTCATGTTTTATTAATGTGAAATATGTTGACTATCTGAGAATTCGCCTGGGATGTGGTCTAGCCAGCAAAAAGAGCTTTGGGCAATGTCAGTATAGGCACTAGCTATGTATTTCTTCCCTTTAAGAAAAGCTTTTCACTACACTGCGATATTTATCTCAGCTCCATATTGAACCTGTTCTAAAAACAAAATCATGAAGAATTAACATTTGTGCAGATGTAAGAAACTTTTTAATGCATAAAATGGTCCTTTAATGAACCCGTTACGTGACTGTCTTAACTGTACAAGCATGGCAAGAACTGCAGTTAGAGAATCAAAAGCTCAGATAAATGCACTTACTGAGGGCAGTGGCCTTTAGACTGTAAACACCCTAGGCTTTCTGCTCTTACACACTTGAAGTCAAACATAATCTGTCATATCAAACCATCAGACTGACTTTCAAGTGTCTGCTTTGTATCTTCATTGTTCCCTCTGTGAATGTGAAACCGGAGTAAGCAATCATACATGCTTCTTTATTTGTTTTTTTTTTTTTTTTTGGAATTATTCTGTTAAAGAACGGGGTCAAATGAGCAAATAGAAGTGTGCCTATTAGCAGATGAATGCTAAATAAATCTTAGCATCAATGCTGAAAAAAACGTTTTTAATAGTTCAGTTGTTTTTTTCCATGTCTAATACTTGTAACAAACTTCTCAGCACTAAGGGAAGGAGTTTTATCATGCTGAGTAGGTTGAAGCTCTGAATGAAAGTACAAAATATTAGTTTGCACTTGATGAAATTAGAATCCTTCATTCTCGAAGAGGAGTTTTTCTCATTGAAAGTAGGCAGACCAGCCATTATGTCATCTTCTTTTATGTCTTTCCAAACCAAATCTTGGAAACAATAATTATAGCAGAAGGCAGTTAATAATTCATTGTCTTGAAAGCCTTGCAGTCAAGTGAGTTTGACTTTTTGTGATCCAGAGATGACAAAGTAATGAATCGCCCTCTGCAAAAGCCATGACTGCAATAATTCAAAGGTTAAATGAGTATTGCTGCTTGTCCAGATGTAATTAGCTGTGTTTGGAGTTGCCTTATAAACACTGTTGTCAGTGATGCTCTATGTCGCATATGTTTCTTTGTCCTGTATACAGATACTCTGTCTGCTGCTCCTTGGTTATCTCCTTTAGCCATCACCTATTTTCTTTTTCAAAGTATTGTTTTGGATTCAGTTTTGCAAAGCTGCCACCACACACATATAGAAATAGTATTTATTTATGATTCGGAATTAATAATTATGAAACTCTGCTGGTGTCTGTTACAATTGTAAAAGGAGAAAATCCATGAAGTGTCATACTGCAGTCTCGGGGAGTGTGCAATAAAGCAGCTAATGGGCTCTGACCAAGAACCAAAGACATTCATGTGCCTCACAGGCAGTATGTGTATAATTTGGTTTCTCAGAGGCTTCAAAAAGTTCATTTTGCTGTAGATTAATTTAGGAAATCTAGGGGGGAAAAGGTGTATTCCTAGCATGAGATTGTAAGCAGGCCTCATCTTAAAACCACAAGCTGTAAAGAGCTATTCTCTCACATCTCACGTTGAACCAGGCTCCCTCATAGGCCCAACAGGCTCTGCGTAGTTCTCAGCAGGGACCATGAGATAAATGTGGAGCCCTTCTGTGAGCTGAAGGGGAAGAAATAAATGGCAGCTCTTTTAAACAAGTGAGTTTAAATCCTCAGGACATTTTGGTGTTTGAGGCTGATTTTCCCCCCTCTGGAGTTTTTTTATAAAGTGTTGCTTTTAGTTTTCAGGGAGCCTGAAATGCAGCTGTAGGAGAAGTTCACGTTTAACATCGAAGTGGCAGTTTAAGTGGCGGCGTCCCTGGAGTGGGTGTTCAGGAGCAGTCAAAGGCCTCTCTAAGTGTTGGATGTGCCCCGAGCGTTGGGGCTGTGGGGTCCCTGCTCCTCAGGCACGGGAGAAACCTGCTGTCTTTAGCACAGCAAATGATTTTGTGTTCTGGATCACCACGGTCTGCTTGACCGGGGTGGCAGCGGGTGACGGGCGCTGTGTGGTGTGAGAACAGCCTCAACAGAGTGTAGAAGTGGGGCAGCCCCCAGGCACGGAGCGAGGCAGCTTGGAAGGCACTGTTGTTGTATTCAGCCCTCTAGTTATGGCCATGGAAAGAAAAACAGAATGAGCCTCTTGAGTAAGGAGGTGCTACCTGAAGCACTAAGAAATGAGCAGGCACCCTGAGCGTACCCGAGACTAGTGAGTGACCTTGAACAGCTCTTTGAATGTCTCCATTTAAAAAGCAGGAGAAGCTCTAGCAACATGCCAGTGCCTTGCAGACACCTGCGCATCAAAGTACAGTGGGTGTAAAGTGCTTCCTTTCCCTGAGCTAGAGTGTACTACCCATTCTGTGCTACAGTATTTCTTCTTCATGCTTCTAACCAGCTAATTCATAGATATTTAAGACTTTGGGAAGGGGAGGGCTCGTATAACTAAGTTGCTATTATATTCCAGCAGTGTAACAAAGACTTCTAAATGCATTTCTACAAGTATAAAGTCTCCGTGCAGTAATTAAAAAAATATTACAGGCCTCCCTTTGGATTTTATTTAATTCTTCTGAATATAGGTTACACTGGAAAATGTAGTGTGAAGACAAGATACCAGACATCCATGATCATCAAACATGTTTGAGATCAGTATTTTGGCACTGTAGCGAAACCAGGAAAGAAAATCTCTAGTCCAGATCCCCAGGTTGTTGATCCTGAATGAAAAGGATGGGCATGAGTGTGAGTAATGCATCATGTTTATCTCAGTTGTCAGAAGGCTTGGTCATTCCTTTTCCCTATTGTGTCTTTAGTAATATCCTTAGCTTTACACAGCAGGGAGTTTGGCTTTCCAAGTGGGGAAATGAGGGGTTTCCTGCTTTCAGTATTAGTGTCTCCAGGTATGTCCATCACTCTGATGCCTGCGCTAAGGGGTTGGAATAGGCGGCTTCCTCTGCTGCTTTTTTATAAAATAAGTCCCTTGCCAGCTGGTTAGCGTTGGCTTTGTTTGTTTGATTTACGGTCTGTAAGACTGGAGATAAGATCCGAAAGAATTTCAGCCTGGAGCTTTTCATTCCTGCCCATTGTCCACTGTAAAGGGAGCCTGTGAAGTGAAGATGAATTTTGAGGTGACGATGAAGGTTTAACTTATAGTCATGCAAACCTGGATGGCTTAAGGCTGACATGGAGTTTCCAAGAGTAAAATCTCTTTAAGTTCCCTGGAAATATAGAGTCATGTGGGATGCTTTCTTCAAAATATAGCAAAACCAAGGAGGCTTCTTGCTGATGCATCAAACTCAACAAGTACATGGAGCTGTCAGTGCAGAGTATGGGAGTAACCTGCTTGCAGCTTGCAGTCAAAAAAGAGCCCTGCTTTATATTTTAACATTGTTTTGTCTTGCTGTGTATTAGTGTTCATTCTTCCAGTAAAGTTTTTCTTCTGTTTCCTTTAGATCTTCTTAAATATTTTTTGTTTTTATTTTGATTTTCACGTTTGAATTACTATTACTACTTACAGTCTGCATTCCTGTATGTTTTGGAGACAATTAGCAATGCACCAAAACCAGTGAAAGTATCCACTCTTCAGTGAAGAATTAACATTCATTGCAATGTAATTTAAAAAAAAAAAATTTCTGAAGCAGTATTTTTTGCTACAGTAGAACTCCAGATTATATATTTGAAGCTTTTCTGAGGGAATCTAAAATCCATTTTATAAAACTCTTGGTGTTGGGAAATCTTAGATATATAAAATTGGAGATTTTAGTTATGGATACTACTGAAAACCCAACGGAGTTTGTATAAGCTCATTCTTACTGCAGAACAATTCTGCAGGCAAAAAAAAAAAGGTGTGTTGCTCTAGTGGTGTTATTTTCTTATTTATATTTTGCATTAGTAAACTAATTATGCGTATGAATGTTCACAGATTTATGCAACAATGATGTGATAAATACTATGTGATAAATGCTGCATATTATCTTTTTTATGTATGTATTCAGCAAGGAATGATTCTGCATTTCAAAACATGTAATTGGATACAACAATTAAGCTTAGAAAGTTTATTTTGTTCTCTAGCTTCACTAAAGAGATTTTAGTCACTCCAGAGCTAAAATTAATGAGTGCTTAGTAATCTGTAAACACTGGTGTGTTCTACTCTTTCTTACTATTTCAGGTCACGGTTTCATGGTTGAAATTTCAATTGGTGTGGTATTCAAGGGCTTTCATGTGAAAATTCGCAGGGTTAGGTTAGAAGTGCATGAGGGACTTGGAGAGTCTGATGAAAAATGATTTCAGACCAGTGTCGTTTCCCAGGTCCTTCAGGAGCAAGCTGCAAGGAAGGCAGATTCTCCAGAGCTATTGGGATTCAGAGCTCCTGGAGAACCTGAGCTGTATATGGAAAAGGGACCGTTAAAGTAGCTAAGCTTTACAGACTAGTGAGTTTTGACCTACAGTGCAGAGAAAGCTTGTCATCCGCAGTGGTGGTGGCACACGATGTGTCTTTGAACTGCTGTGTTTGAAAGCAAGTGCACAATTTGTTTTTTTAGAAGGCTGTACAGTACAACTGTTTGAACGTGCGGTTATTTGGTTTTATAAGGCTTTTAGGAAATTGGAAAGAACTGTTAAAATGTGGGGAAAAAACAGTGTAAAATAGTGTAAAACTGAAATTCAGTCAGTTTTGCTTTCCTTCTGTTTTATTTTCTATATTTTTCCCCTTGACACTGGGATTCTCCAAGTCATAGCACTACTTTGGCATTACAGTGTGACCCAGGCAGTCCTTTCTGATATTTCCTGCTGTTTTCATTCTCTCTATTTCCTTTTTCTGCTTCTGGTAGGTAAGCAAAGACATAGTCCAGGGCTAGTACCTTGCCCGTAATCCTGGTTTGCAATCTGATCCGTGGGGGGAGAAACATCACATCTGGGTTTGAAATAATCTCAGTACCTCACCGAGTCCCACACATTCCTCCTTCCTGATCCCTTTTCTTGACTTTTAATCTCTTGTTTTATCATTTTGAATTCGATTTTGCAAATCAGTAACTGCGAAGACATTGAAATGCTTCTGTTTCAAAGTAAGGCAATTAGTTTCTTAAATGACAGAAATTCCAAGAGGGAAGACGAGGTTTCAGTCTGAGTCCTGTAGAGATGGTTAAATAAAAATAGACTGGTCATGTGGTTACCAAGTGTCTAAATTACAGCCAGCGACTCAGGTGTCATCTAAACTGTAAACCAAGAGGGAATGCGTCACCTGATTTATTCCAGAAGGATGGAAGCCCTGAAGAGCTTGTTCATTCATTTCACAGGATAAGACTCACAGGGGATTTTTGTAAGGGATTTTTAGAAACTGCTCACCCAAATCCTTTTTTTTTTTTTTTCTCTATGTGTGTGTTTAATTTTCCAAAATACAGTTTTTAAAAATGTTGTTCCATGAAGTTCACATTTCTGACTTTTCTCAGGTTCTTCTGAGGAACAAACTTAATCAGAATGTGAAATACAGTGAAATACAGTTTTCGTTCCTGCACAGCTGCACACCAGAGGTGCAGGGCTGTGCAGGGGCTCAGGGCTGTCAGTGGGCAGGCCTAAAGGAGATTTTTTTTTGTACTTCACTTTACAGTGCCGTCTTTTCCTTTCTGCTGTTTAGTGCCCTGTCCCTGCTACCTTAAGAGTCTCAAGAATGCTGTTAAACTATATTAACTTCTTCTTAAATAAGTATTTTTGAAAATCTTGAGGCCTCCCCTCAGAACAGCCCTTTTTCATTGACGTTCAGTAGTGCTCACTTAGAAGAATTCCCTAAGGAATTGGTGGAAACAGATGGGGTGATGACCTCTGGGCCCTGCACTTAATGTGCAGTACAGGATCACATGGCTCCTTGTTCTTACTCCTTTAGCTTGTTTCTAACTGGTAGTGACTGTTTCATTTCCGTGCATGTTCTTAAGTATTCCTGTTATATGTTATATGTTATGGGCAGTTATATGTTTTATTATATGTTTTGGGCAGTGTTGGCATGGAAATATAAGGTATTTAAGAAATATAAGGTATTTAAGAACACCATTGATGCAGAAGTGCTCAAAATGAGAGGAAAAAAAAGTGGCTTTTTTATAGCTATTTAATAATTTAAATAGTTGTTTATGCTTGTATTTGCATAAATTAACTTCAAGAGACAAGATTACTGTGTGTTCAGAGAACTTCAGACTTCAATTTTGTACTCACTTTCTATTTCTGATGGCAAATTTCAAGTCTTAAGAAAACAAGTTAAGTAGATCTCTGAAGGTTTGGTGCAGATATTTACAGGTTTAGGGTCAGTTTATATCTGATTTTTTTTCACCATATTGTCTTTGTTTTTCTCTTCCTCTCTCTGCAGAATGGGTTGCTTGTGTGAGGTCCAACTTCCTGGTTTTGTGCTACCTGCACGATGTGAAGAACGTCCTGCAACTTCATGATCTGACTACGGGTGCACATCTCAAGACTTTTCCATTAGAGGTTGGCAGTATTGTGGGATATAGTGGCCAAAAGAAGGACACGGAAATATTCTATCAGTTCACTTCCTTTTTATCTCCGGGTAAGACTCTCTTGTTTGCTTTCCCTTACCTTTCCCATGGTCCTGTTTCCTCAGGATCTTCTTTCTTTTTAGTAGGCACTAGGTATGTCTACAATAAAGATCAAATGACCTCCCCAGGTAGTGAGTAATGGTTATGCAATGTGAGTAAAATGCCAGCAGGAAATCCTTCATCCCTGAAGCCTTAACAGCAGGTTGATATTTGAGAGATCTGTGTTCAGAAATTGCTCAAAACAAGCTTCTACTGGAGAGGAAGTTTTAGCATTTGTTCTAGGAAGTTCTTGCTTCCTATGGTAAAATATAACTTTACAAATTCTATTGTAGGTCGCACTTATGTTAAATAAAACAATTGCTGCCATGAAAGCAGCAATGAAAAAGCATTATAACTACTTCAAGCCTTAATTATACCGCTAATTACAGTTTTTGCATTTGGAAGTAGTACATCAGATGACTCATTTGACCCAGGAAATACTTAATTAAAGTAAAGACACCCAAACAAATGTTGCTTTAGAGAAGAGGCATGTTTTCTGAATGAAAGAAGATGCTGGCATCTTTTATTATGACTCTGTCTTGTAAAAATTTGTAAGAGAACAAGAATATGCCTTTTTTTAATTTCCTCTTTCTTTGCCACTTGTGGTAAAGAAGGAATTAGGAAACAACTTCTTTTTGGAAATTAATGTCAGTATTAAGATTGTCGCTTTGGATTAAAATCTGTTTTTTTGCCTACCTCTCTGAGTACTCATCCATTAAAATGTGAGAGAGGTACTCTCACACTATCAGATTACATCAGAATTGTAACCTGTAAAAAGAGCAGAGATGGCAAAGTGTATTAACACTTTGAAAGTTTTCAACTGAGAACTAAACTGGTAACTAAAACTGATGATCTTCTACAGGTGGAGAAAATACGGCTTATGTTCATAGCATCTTCTAGCCACTTAAAATAAGCCTTTTAGATCAGACTGAATAGTCAGCATGTTTGTCACTCCTGTTTCAAAAGAGACCAAAATATGTAGAGAGCACTTTACATACTGTGCATTGAAAGACACGAGAGCATCAGTGAGTTGAAGGAGATTGCCCCAAAATAGCACAGAAGACAGTACAGAACTATAAATCAAGGGACGAAATATTCACAAAAGTTAGCTTAAGTCTGGAGAGCTTTGTGAGTTGTCACTTAACTTGTGAATTAGTGCTTGAATTAGTGCAATTACTGTGAGTCATGATTTCATCCGTTATAACAACAACGAATAATTAACATTGTGGATAGTTTTACAAATCATATGTATAGCTGTACCAAATAAGCATAGGAGTTTAAACTCCTTATGCATGTGAATCTTCTTGTGTGCACATACCTTTAAAAAAATAAATATAATTAAATTATTTTAAATTATTAAAAATAACTAAATTATGTTCAGACATATAGTTAACCAGTGTTAACTGAAAGAATTTACCAGGAGCTACTGTTTTTTGTCCTGCTAAGTTGCCTTTGCCATTCATTACTGCACCACAGTGCCTAACCCCTGTCCTTCCAATAACACATGTACACCCAGTTGACAAACTTGCTCTCCATTTTAGGTATTATATATCACTGTGATCTGACCAAAGATGAACTGGAGCCAAGAGTTTTCCGAGAGGTGACTGTAAAAGGATTTGATCCTTCCGCTTACCAGACAATTCAGGTAATAATATGAATCTCTATCTTAATATACTCACACAACAGGTTAACAAAACTGCACTTGGGTAAGGGGGACACGTTTTTTCGTGAGCTTCTGGACTCCTGAGCTTGGAGTAGTGTAAATCTCTGAAGAATTCTACCTTTTTTTTTTTTTGTTAGAAATTGGGAAATGCCCAGCAGGCTCAATCCTCAGTCTTGATTTGAGCCTTTGCACTTGTGTTCTGATTTTCTTTCCATGCTGTGATACTTGTTGTCTTTATTGGTTTAACATCAAATTGCTGCTGCTTTTGCATGTGATAATTTTATCCCATCAGGGCAATTTATCATGGTTCCTGTAAGCAAGTGTGTAGCAGGGCAAGACTTAAGAGGCAGTAGAGGAATAGAGAGTATTTGGAGAAGCCAGTGTCTTTCCCAGCACTTCCACAATTTCCAAGGACACAGTGGGAAGTAGTAAGAATAAATAAAACCCACTCTGCTCCTGCCACTGCCCTGTAAAAAGCAGCATTTTTTTTGCCATGAATTGTCACTATGGTTTTCTGCTCCTAAGCACTCAAGAAGTTGTTGGGAGGAAAGAAGGAAATACTTCTCTGCATTCATAGATGGCATCGAATATGCAGATAGGAAACTGAAAGGAAGGGAAGCAGGAATATGTCTAGTGCTATTAGTAGAAAAATCTTATTCATTCATACTGTGAAAGAATTTCCCATTATAACTACCTATCCAAGAACTGCTGTAGCATATAGTGTTTGCTGTTGCATCAGTGTGATTACACACAGAGCACCTCACTTTGATTTCCATTGCAACAAGTGTAAGTAACCTTCCTGAGGTAAAAATCTATGGGGAATGACTGCATGTGTCTGAGAACCTGGAATATTAGATGTTTAAACGGTTTTGGACAGCACAACATTGTGTTGGTCTGATACTCTGCTGTTTGTGCACGGATTCCTGGAACACTGATGCAGTATTTAATAACCAGTAGTTTTACACCACATTAGTGTTCTAATGTGATCGTTTCCTAAGGTGTTTTTGCCTTGTTTTTTTTTTTTTTTTTGCCTCAAAGGCATCTTGCTTTAGAAGTTTGCACAAGCAGAGGTAAAATGGCAGATGCAGATGGACGGTGATCTGACTGCTAGAACTGAGCTTGGGGAGAAGTGAGCTTGGGGAAACATTTGCAGGGAACTGCTTTGACAGGATCACAGATATTGTAGATAAAATGATTGGGCATAATATACCAGAAGAGGAGTAGGTTTTGCCATTTAACAAAACTTTGGTTAGCCCGTGGTAGGATACTGCATGCTTTGAACTTTAGAGAAAATGTGAAAGTTTGAGGAAGAGTTAATAGAATTTTGTTGGAGTAATTAGGGATATGAAAAACCTACTATCACATGGTGAAGATTAACGTATTTAATCCCTCCAGAAAAAATGAGGTTCATTTGATCACTTTTGTAAAGGATTTTGCATCCCCAGCATAAAGGTAAAGGTGGCATAGAGGGTTTTCTTTTTTATAACAAGATACGATGATTAAAAATAGAAGTAAGCATAGCCTTGAAAAAAGGTGAAATTAGATTTTTTTTCTTAGTCTCTTATTTTAGCATCTGACACATAACACAGGACATAAGTTCCGTAAAAGCAAAAAGAAGGTACTGTCTCTGTGCACAAGGTTGTTATAAACAGCCCCATCTGTTAGTCACTGCATCTGTAGACAGTAAGATGAATTATGTAGAGGACAGTTTGCTAAAAATGTTCTCACGGAGTGTGGGTTGTTACCACCTCCTTCAAATTTATTGCAGAGGTTTCCACAGGTTAACTTTAGGGAATAGTGAGGTGAAAGAGGGAAAGAAAAAGCATTAGTTTCATGAAAGAATGTAATAGAATCATAATGCAGCTATCAAATTCAGAGGAATAGTAATGGAGCACAAATAAACTAGTAAATAAAAAGGATTTAGAAGGAATTGCCTAGAATTAGAGAAAAGGCGTGTGGGGGAAGTGCTTTGTTTTAGTAAATCACATATTTTGAGAAAGAAATGTCTGGAGAATGAAAATCTTATTTTACATTCAAATCAGTTGCATGCTACATTAAAGTGAGGTAATGCGAATGTTTTGAAGGAGGAAGCACCCTGTGCTGTGCCCCTGGACACATTCCCTCCCTGGAACCACCGGCAGAGCTTCTCCCTAGGCTACAATGAGGTGGAAGTCAATATAACTTGACTTGAGGGAAATGTGCAGTTATCCCGAGGGCTGTGCTCTTAAAGAGCACTCTTGGTTTACTACCCATTCGGTTTTACCTTGGGCCATCCAAAATCTGGGAGTCTTTGCCCATTGCTTTCCTCACGTTATCTCTGTGTGGAATCCTCTTGGAAATTGTTTTCCCTCGGAATTCTGTGGAGCAGTTTCCAGCAAGCAGTGAAAGAGGCAGTTTGCCAGAGCCAGGCTGGAGACTGCCTGGTCACATCTGTGGTAACCCAGCCTGCTGGTGCAGAACACCAGAAAAAGAGTGAGGACAGACAGAGATTGCTAACTGCATGAGATAGATGACACTCTGGAACTCATTTCAGGATTTTAGTTTCCATCAGAATTACTAAGTGATATAAAGAAATGTTCTTTGTCTGTGTTGTGATCAATGTCCTTAAGGAAAGACACCCTCTTCACCCCCCTGCAAGGCTCTTCCTTTATTCTCATACAATTAAAGAAATATATGTTAAGCCTAGCAGTCTTTCAAGCTTTGTCTCAACAGCAGGTATGAAGTGTTAATGAGTTGTTGCTCTACAGCAGTCTTTGAACTTGAACTGAAGTATTGAGGTGTCATGTGTTTACAAAGCCTAAGTGGTGGCAACTGGAAGATGCCACAGTGCCTGCTTTTTGCTCCTTTTGGATCAATTTTAAAGCATTCCAGAGATACCTTGTGGCATACATGTGGACCAATGATAAGGTTTCCTGCAGTTTATGGCAGAGGAACAGTTTTATGGTACCTGCAAGTATGTTTGACCCAAGTCAGAAGGAAAAGCCAGTGCATTTTGCACTGAAGATGAGCTGTTTCCAAGTACCTGACATTTACCCCAGGGTAAGAACGTGCCCATAGTTTGTTGGCTTTGATTACCTGACACACTGCAAGCTTGCAGCCTGGCTTGCTGTGCAGCAGCTCGTGCCTGGGCCCTCACCTTAGAAAACCCCTCAATGTGGCCTTCATGAAAAATCCAGACTGTTTAAAATGCTTGCCGCACATCCTGAATTTATCCTGGCTCCTTTTACTAAATGATGAATTAAAGAATGTTAGTAATTTCTCTCTACAAAACGCTTACGGAGATTTGAGGTTGTTTCTCTGCACACTTTTTTCCTTTACGATGGCAGACTTTATCAAAAAGTGGCCTAAATGCACGATGATCATTTATTTTTACAGAAAAAAAAACAGTATTTTTGCAGGAAACTGTAAACAGCACTTTCCATAAGGTGTTTACTGCTTTAAATAAAAAGCAGCCATTAAATAGAACTGTATCTTTACGAACTTGCCAACCAAGCTGTTAGGAGCCTCTCCATATTCACACCTCGCAGGGACACAGGCTTCTGTCCTGGCTCAGGACGCACCTACTTCTCTGCTGGAATGTGGGATTGCGGTGTTGAAATTGCAACAATTACAATGTTGTTTGGCTCTTTTTGCCATTCTTTGAATACCTTCCAGTGCTGTCCTTAAGGTAGTTTGAGATGAACCAAAAATAGATGTACCTATTGGCAGCTGCACTTTGGGTGAGCTCTTGTAAAAGAACTGCAAAACTCATGGCACAAACCTCATTTGATTTGATGGCAGTTGCTGATTTAGACATTGTTGCAGAGATGAAAGAGGGTGAGTGTTAAAAAAGATATTCATTTTTTAGAGCTAGGATGAATTGCCTCCTTTTTGAAAAAAAAAAATTGTATGGGAAGTAATTTTCATAAGAAATTTATTATTTCAGTGTTCTGCCTTCCACCCCCATCCTCCACCTCTTACAGCACTCGTTTTCAAATTATGAGTCATTAATAAGGGAAAATTAGTGAGTCTAATCCCTAGCAGAACTTTATGCCATGGAGTTTGGCACAGTTACTAATCTGTGTTTCAGGAAAATACAACCCTGGGAGAAGATGAGTCAGGCTTGAGATTGATTGGCAGAGCTGTGGGGAGAACTTGTGCACAGCACCTGCCCACGCTATTCCTGGATCTTGCCATTGCTATTAGTGTGTCACTTAATGAGCATGACATTCACTCAATAAAATAAAAATAAGGGTCAGCATGGAATCTCCATGCCCTGTGAAATCTGCAACAGGTTGGGCTTACCTAGCAAAACAAGAGCTGACCTCATTGCTGTTTGGCCACTGTGGGTATAGAGGTGATCTTCTTGTTGTTTCTTCCCTTAACTGAGTGTATGTGCATAAGTTGTTGGAGTTTGGGGAGAATTTGAGTGCCTCGGTTGTGTTTTGTAAGGAAAAAAACCAATTCAGTAAAAGATACAGTGGAGAAAGGGGAGCAGATATGAAGAAACCCCATAGACCTCCTAGGTGCATCTGGGACCGTCAGCTCTCCAGGGAAAACCCCAGGGAGAGCCCCAGCACCTCTGATCCCTGCTGGTGCCTTGACAGTGAGGGGCTTTTCAGCACCAAGGGAACTGTCATAATCTGGAGGACGTCACCAAAATCACATCGACATCTGTGGCGCTGCTGGCTTTGTGCCTGCATGAGCTGAGCTTCTTACCCTCCTGACTGCGTGACGGATGCAAATACCACCTTAATCCACCGTTATCTTCTCTAATTGCAGATCAGTGAGAAAATACTAAATCCAAATGAGGTCCTCTCTTTTTAAGGCCTTAGATTGCTCTAAAGCCAAGAGATTGTGTATTAGAAATGATATGTATTTACAGCCACAGCATGCTCTGTTTTAAGAGGGAAGTTGTCAGTGTGAAGGACTATATGCCTAGAAGAGTATCTGTGAATAAATGAACGTTTCCCCACAAGGACCTTACATGCCCTTGAACTCTC